GCGTGTGCATGCCGTCAGGACGCGTGTGCGTGCATGTGTGTTGCGTGCGTGTGTGCGTGTGTCTAGGCGTGTGCATGCCGTCAGGACGCGTGTGCGTGCATGTGTGTTGCGTGCGTGTGTGTGCGTGTCTAGGCGTGTGCATGCCGTCAGGACGCGTGTGTGTGCATGTGTGTTGCGTGCGTGTGTGCGCGTGTCTATGCGTGTGCATGCCGTCAGGACACATGCATGTATGTCAGTGTGTGTGCATGTGCATGCCATCAGGTTTGAGGAGCACTGGCCTCTGTCCTCCCTTCGGGCTCCCTGTGCACAATCCTGCCCCAATGCGAGTTCCCAAATCGTCGCGGGCTCTTCTGCTCCAGAGCCACCCTGTGTAGGATGCAGCACCCCTGCCCCTAGGGCGCTTCACGTCTTGCAGGGAACTCTCATCGTTTTAGGCCACCTCGGGATCCACTCTGAATCTAGGCTGGACTTTCTCTGACCAGAAGCGGAGCTGTCACCCAGGACAATTTTCAGTTCACATCCCCCTTCCTCGAGCTGACCCACGCAGACGCCCATGCTGTGCACTGTACCCTGGTGACCCCCCCGTGTCCCCACAGGCCCCACGCCCCACATGGACTGTGCAGCCACAAAGCAAGAGTCCTCCACAGTCACAGTGTGGCCACACGGCAGCCACACCACAGAGACCCCCCCAGTCACAGCGTGACCACACCGCAGAGACCCCCCCCATCACAGATTCCACTTTATTCTTTAGAAAAATTGCTTTAACTGTTCCAGGTCCTTTGCCTTTTCATGTAAATTTTAGAATAAGCCTGTGTAGTACAGAAACTGAGATTTTGTTAGGACTGTGTGAAATCTACAGATTAACTCAAGGGGAATTATTTAACAACATTTGCAGGAAGCCAGCTCTGAACTGTCAGAGTGGGCATGCCTGGGCAGAACAGCCACGGAGCCCAGTGCACGGAGGGGACACAGCTAACGCACGCCAGGCCAGAAAGACATGGACCTGGCACAGAAGCCACCAAGAAGGCAGGAAGAGGGGTCAGAAATCCCCAAGTCAGGAAGGAAGCCATCGTCAGCAGCATCAGATACCAGAGGCTAAGAAACTGAGGAGTGAGAACAGCCCCTTGGCAAGCGGCAGTTCAGAGGGGTTCCCTGGAGACTCTGAAGGAGAGCAGAGGGCAGGGCTGCAAACAGCAGAAGGCATCCCCCAGCGAGAGGGAGGGCCGCAGGGATGGGAGCAGCAGTGCCACAGAGGGGAAAAGGGAGGGGCAGTAGGAACACACCTGCCTCTGAAGCGAGGCTTTCCTGAGACCCAGGACCAGCACAGAGCCACACAACGGAAGGGATGGGAAGGGACCAGGATAAGTGCACAAGTGACAGGGTTGGGGCCGGCAACGGCCCCACCACACCCAGGGGCTGCCCCCTCTTCTCCCAACTGTGTCCAGTCCTGTCGGGGGAGCAGCTTATCTCCACCAGCAACTGACCTGGCTGGTGATGCTGAGGGAGGCAGGGTGTAGATACAGAATTAATATTCATCATTTATTTCAAAAAAACTAAAATCACAAAACAAAAGTAAAGCTGGCATAATTTTGCTTGTCAAAGACCACCACTCATTTTGTTGTTTTTTTTTTTTTTCAGACAGAGTTTCGATCTTGTCACCCAGGCTGGAGTGCAGTGGCGCGATCTCGGCTCACTGCAAGCTCTGCCTCCTGGGTTCAAGCGATTCTCCTGCCTCAGCCTCCCGAGTAGCTGGGACTACAGGCGCCCACCACCACGCCTGGCTAATTTTTTTGTATTTTTTTAGTAGAGACGAGGTTTCACCGTGTTAGCCAAGATAGTCTCAATCTCCTGATGAGTTCTGCTCTTGTCACCCAGGCTGGACTGCAACAGCATGACCTCGGCTCACTGCAACCTCTGCCTCCAGGGTTCAAGTGATTCTCCTGCCTCAGCCTCCCGAGTAGCTGGGACTACAGGCATGAGCCACCATGCCCGGCTAATTTTGTATTTTTAGTAGAGATGGAGTTTCTCCATGTTGGTCAGGCTGGTATCGAACTCCTGACCTCAGGTGATCCGCCCGGTTCAGCCTCCCAAAGTGCTGGAATTACAGGCGTGAGCCACTGCGCCCAGCAGTGGTTGATTCTTCAAATCAGCTGAAGGCACACAGACTCATCGTAACAAGTAACACGACGGCCGGGCGCGGTGGCTCAAGCCTGTAATCCTAGCACTTTGGGAGGCCGAGACGGGCGGATCACGAGGTCAGGAGATCGAGACTGTCCTGGCTAAAACGGTGAAACCCCTACTAAAAAATACAAAAAACTAGCCAGGTGAGGCGGCGGGCGCCTGTAGTCCCAGCTACTCGGGAGGCTGAGGCAGGAGAATGGCCTGAACCCGGGAGGCGGAGCTTGCAGTGAGCTGAGATCCGGCCACTGCACTCCAGCCTGGGCAACAGAGCAAGACTCCGTCTCAAA